TGTGCATATATGTAACCAACTGGAAACTCAGATAGCCTCTCTGGATACTAAGATACAAGACACCTAAGATTTATGTTTTCTACTGCTTCCCCTCACTAAAGAGGGCTCAATGTTGTATTCTTTAAGAGCATTTGTCTGGGCTCTCATAGTTAATTCAGTGGTCTAGGTGAGACCAGCGCCATCTGCTCTGATAGATGCCTAATTCTGTCTGTGGGTCTGTCGAGACAACCTTCTCGCACCAGGCCTGCTGTTGGCTGCACCATGGTCTTTTAGGAAACATGACGAGCTGAAGTAAGAAATGCACAGGCATGTAGAATTGAGTCCCTGCTCCTGTGTGTTTCCAGTTTCCCTCTTGGCAATGGAGGAACTCTGAATGTACATTTTGGCTCACATCCGCTCTTACTATGGAAACCTAAATGGTTTTCAGAACAGTGCTCCAAGATAGGTTATTCTCAGTTCTGGGAAAAATCCTCCATGGCTTCTAAACATACCTACGCTGCCATCAATGTTGGTGTGTGTTCCCTTCACACAGACCTTGGGAAGCATCCCCCTTATACACAATGAGCCCATTATGAGGCAAACGGACTGGCTGCATGGCATAGATTTATAGGAAACTTCACCATGGGAATTGCCTGGCTCACTTGACAGCTCTGTTGAGACTAGGTAATCCAAAAAGCAAGTAGATGTTGCATCCAGAATAAACGCTATTGTAATTTAGTGTTATATCTTAATTCCGTTCTACTTGAATATGTGTTTTTGGCAAGCTAATATTCTTGAACTGTCTCTTCATAGAATGACTTATTTTAAGACTGCGGTGGGAATACAATGGCCCTCCTTCCTCATTTTCCAAATGAGATGACCTGACATGCTTGGAAAGGTTAAGTGGCTTTCTCAGAGCCACACAACGAGTTGCAAGTATGTTGACTCTGTAACACCGAAGACCTGTCCCATTGGCATGTGGGACACTTTTAAATCCATGAACAGGAAGGCTCTCATGCCTGCCACATTCATGAGGTTGCCATAGACCAACCCACAGCGGCTCATGCATTTGTCCACCATTACCCCATTAGAATGTTGCCCTCAGTTGCCAACTTCCCCTTTGGGTTTATGGTCTTTTCTGGGTGGTATGGCTTCACAGGCACATTGCCTGTCCTCAGTTCTTTGTTCTTGGCTTGTCTCCTTCCTCCTGGCATGCTAACTCCTTTAGTTATATCCCTTCCTGGGTACATTTCAGCATGGCTGTGCCCCTCCTCTCCACAGTTCCAGCTGGTGGGGGTGGGGGGGGTCTGAATTCCAGCTGAGTTTAGCTGCAAGGGTGAGATGAGATCCCAGGTCTCCCAGGTTTCAGATCATTTTAGTCTGTTCACACCGAACTCTTGCCT